AACGCTTTTCTGAAGGGTTGATGAATTTTATCAACTTTTTAAAGGTATATTACAGCTCATATACCCCGAAGGGTTTATGAAAGTGCAACGTATAGCAAACCCTTGCCAAGGTTTATGAAAAAAAAAGGTTAATGAGAGGGTAGATTACGTCCATAAACCTAAAAAGGGTTTATGCCGTGGTCATAAACCCTTTTTGAGGGTTTATTATTCTACGCCCATTTTTTTCAGTGCATACCCTTACAGGGGGGTCTCCTTGTTCGCGCACGCGTGTACGCGAAAATGAGCCTAGAAAAGCCGGGAAGTGAGGTGAATAGCAATTGAACTCAATTTATTCAGCAAGCGAGAAGAAAAAAAAAAGTTTACATTTTCTTTTTCACAGAGTCAATGTTATCTATCAATGTTTTAATATGCGGATGCGTCGGTGGGAGTGATTCTTTGAAGATGGCAAGTGACTTTTCTAGATATGAAAGTGCTTTTGGGTAGTCGCCTTGTCCGGAATAAGCCATGCCGATGTTGTTGTAGGAAGTAGCCAAATCGGGATGATTCGGAGGCAGAGATTTTTCGAGTATTTTAAGTGCTTTGTCGTAAAATCCAAGTGCTTTCGAGTAGTTACCCATGTTTTTATACGCAACACCGATGTTGTTGTAGGAACTAGCCAAGTTGGGATGATTCGGAGGCAGATATTTTTCAAGTATTTTAAGTGATTTGTCGTAAAATTCAAGTGCTTCTGGGTAATTACTCATGCTGTCATACACCGAACTGATGTTGTTGTAGGAAGTAGCCAAATCGGGATGATTCGGAGGCAGAGCTATTTCTCTTATTTTGAGTGATTTCTCGTGAAATTCAAGTGCTTTCGAGTAGTTACCCATGTTGTAATACGTTGCACCGATGTTGTTGTAGGAGGTAGCCAAATGGGGATGATTCGGAGACAGAGATTTTTCTCTTATTCTAAGTGCTTTGTGGTAAAATTCAAGTGTTGTCGAGTATTTACCCATGTAGTTATATGCAAGACCGATGTTGTTGTAGGATTGAGCCAATACGGGATGATTCGGAGACAAAGATTTTTCTCTTACTTTAAGTGATTTATCGTAAAATTCAAGTGCTGTCGAGTAGTTACTCATGCTGTTATACGCAAGACCGATGTTGTTGTAGGAAGTAGCCAAATCGGGATGATTCGGAGGCAGAGCTTTTTCTCTTATTTTAAGTGACTTTGCGTAAAATTCAAGTGCTTTCGAGTAGTTACCAATGTTGTCATACACCGAACCGATGCTGTTGTAGGATTGAGCTAAATCGGAATGATTCGGAGGCAGAGCTTTTTCGCTTATTTTAAGTGACTTTGCGTAAAATTCAAGTGCTTTCGAGTAGTTACCCATGTTATTATATGCAAGACCGATGTTGTTGTACGTGGCAGCCAATGAAGAATGATCTTCCGGAAGAGTTTTTCGCTTGATTTCGAGTGCTTTTTCATAAAATGAAACTGGTTCTTTATATTGTCCTTGTTGTGATTTCAACATTCCAAGCATATGATATATATGTGCTCTGTCATCGTCGCTGGAAGCTTTCCTGAGTAATTCGTTGTAAAGGTCTTCAGCTTGATTGTAGTGACCCACTTGAAGCATTAGATGACCCAATCGGTGCCATCCTGTGGATCCAAAGAACTCCGCTTTTATGTGTTCAGTAAGAGTAGCCAGTTGTGGATCATTGTCACTTGTGAGACTTAATTGTCTCTGGAGGACATCATCTAGAGACAGCTACATTCTATTAATCAGTGAAACCCGGTGACGGGAAGCGCGCAGCATCCTTATCCGGAATGGCTGAGCGATCGAGTGCCGAATCTCGGCAACCTATTGCAACTAGAAGTCGTCGTGCAGTTGCCCCAGCAGTAATTGTCGATACTTCTAGCCAAGATCAAGGTCCTAGTGCTGGCATTCATGTGGCTCCTACACCCACTCGTCGGTTCGAAAATAGCACTCCGCATGGAGGAAAAGGACCGAGTGGTGACAAACCCGCTGGATCGGGGAAGGCATCGGTTTGGTCAGAAGAGGAAATTGAAAAGCTAAAGCGATTAGTTCCAAGCAATGTCACACCCTCAGGTACGATATCTTGGAATGACGTCGAAAAAGCTTGGATAGATCTGAATCTGCCCAAAAGGACTAAGGCAGGCCTTAGCAGCAAATGGCGGGATATCAAGACCAAATCCGCCAGTGTGAGTGTTAGTGATTCGTCTTTGATACAAAACAAGACGAAATTGCATTTGAAAGTCGTTACTATTCCATCTGACACTACTGTAGATGTTAACCACAACGCCGGTAGTAATAATAACGATGTAAACCCTACAGTCGTAAAACCAGATCAGTGCGTACCGGCTGATTTGGCTGATGATGTTGTTAAATCAACCTTCAGGAAAGAATATAAAAAGGCACAAAAGATAGGATGTCGGATGACGTTGAGAAAAACGCCACTAAGAGTCTCCGGCAAGCATATTAAACCTATCATCTGCGAAGTTAATCGACTGATAAAAAGTGAGTTAGATTTGGTAGTAGGTGGAATATCTTGGAATCAGTTGTCAAATCTAGTTTACGCTGGTGCGATGACAGTTTCTAAGATAGGAAACCGAAAATGTCTTGAAAAACAACAACGATCAAGAGAATGGTTTAAGATCACATATAGTGAATGTGAGAATTTGCGCCGCGTCATCGGTAAAGCTACTAGTGAGTTAAATAGACGGGTGAGAAGTGCGGAAGTAGCCCTTACAAATAAGCAGTTTCATAACATCAGGATGCTTAAAAAGAAATATAAGGTGGAGTCACGGGCTGAAATAACATCTCTTGTAGAAAGATTGAAGTGCAGACTTCAACTTCTACAATCGCGAATAGCATTAAGGAAAGCAGATGAAGAACGTGTACGCGTTCGTCAGATGCCGGCTAAGATGCTATTCCGAGGCACGTGTACTGATTCAGAACCAGTTGATATCCATCAGATCAGAAAGTTCTGGAAAGAAATTGTAGGGGTGAAAAAGTCTTTTAACTCGAAGAGTCCACGGCTAGTAGCATGGGAACAATCGTTGTCAAATATTCAGGGAGAGACTGATCTTAAAGGTCGATTGAACCCTGAACTTTGGCAGAAGGTTGTTCAAAAGATAAAACCATGGAAAGCACATGGTCCAGATAAGTTGCAGGGGTACTGGTGGAAAGTCTTCGATTCAGCCAATGCAACACTTTATGATTTAACTCTTCATCATATCTTATCTGGCGAACCCTTACCGCAGAGGTGGATAACCGATGGACGTATAGTACTCATACATAAATCCGGATCTAGGTCTGATCCCGCGAACTTCAGACCTATAGCTTGTTTGAACATCTGCTACAAGCTAGTAACAGGTTTTATAGCCGCATATTTAGATCAGTATGTGAGGGGGCGAGATATACTGAACAACGAGCAAATAGCATTACGTCGGGGTGTGTGGGCTTGCTCACATGCTCTCACTCTTGACCAAACGTTAATAGCAGACGCACAGGATCAGAAGCAGAGACCTATTAGCGTAGCTTGGATAGACTATGCAAAGGCATTCGATAGTCTGCCACATAGTTATATCAAATGGCTGCTCAAAGTAATGCAAGTTCCTGACCTGTTACGAAAGTTTTTGAAAAGCGTCATGAATAATTGGAGAGTACGATATGAAGCGAGAAGTCCTAGGGGTAAGATAGAACATAGTAATTATCTAAGGATCCGTTCCGGAGTTCTTCAAGGAGATAGCTTCAGTCCCTTGTTGTTCTGTCTAGCGATGGCGCCCATCAGTCACGCAATAAATAGTGTTAAAGGTGGCTATACCACCGCCTCTGGGAAATTTAAAAAGGTGCAAATCTCGTTGTCTCATCTTTTCTATATGGATGATCTTAAGCTGTATGCAAACTCACCTGAAAGTCTAATGGAACAGATCAAAGTCGTAGCATCAATTTCAGAGGACATAAACATGAAATTGAATGTTAAAAAATGTGCTGTAACACACTTTATACCGAAACGAATGCGAAGTGAACAGACAGATGTAGATGATGACACATCTACTGACAGAAGTATAAGCTTCCCGATGCTAGATGGTGAAGCAGTCTACAAATATCTGGGCATGGAACAGAAGCTAGGTTTAAAGGAGTCTGAAGCATGGGATCGTGCGAACGACAGGTGTTATGATAAAGCACGTCGCTTATGGGATTCCGATCTTACTTTTCGACAAAAAGTGAATTCCTATAACACCACTATCATTCCTGTATTTAAATATATAGCCAGTTGCATAATTAAAGGTAGTGGTACATACGCAAGTGTCTTAAAACGGGGCGAAGATCTAGATAAGAAGTACCGCAAACTACTTGTGGAGCTTAAAGCTAGACAAAAATCCAGCTGTGTAGCAAGATTGTACCTGCCAGCTGAAATGGGAGGATATGGTCTCAAATCGATTAAGGACGCCATAGAGGAGTCCACCATATACCTATGGGCGTATCTCTGTACGAAAGCAGAATTAAAAGGATCATTAAATCTGTTTTTGGGAATGGTTAACCGGGGGGAAACGATGTGTAGTTAGTGATGCAGGCAGCATTATAAAGGCATATGATATAGACTATAAGTTAGAAGAAGTGCGTTCCACTGTCATTATAGATGGTGCTTCTTTTAACGACGCAAGAACATTAGCAAGACACGTGGTCGGGCTAATGCGTACTGTCAATAACAACGGACGGTACAAAACATGGAAAGAATTAGAGCTAGCAGGACGTGTTCTACGTTCAAACTCTAGCATGGATATGATAGAGTCCTTTACTTGGCTCAAGCAAGGGAAACTATCATCGGTAGCGGTAAGGAATGCTCTAGCAGCTCAAGAAGGATGCTTAATAACGCGCACACATCCTTCACAAGCAAATTCGAACGATAAGAGTTGTAGGGCGTGTGGGTGCCATCTTGAAACAATTGAGCATGTCCTTTCAAGTTGTTCCAAGTGGTTGTCGAACCTATACATTGACCGTCACGACTCAGTTGCTAGAAACATACACTATAGAATATGTCAAAAATACGGCTTTACTCCTGCACACTACTCACAGAAAGTGGAATCGGTTTTAGAGAATGAGAGGATAAAGTTGTATTGGAATCAACCCGTACAAACCAAAACGATCATTCGCCATAACAAACCAGATTTGATAATCTTCGATAAGCCAGGAAAGACAGCCTTGATAATCGAGGTTGCAATATCATGGTTTACTGGTATAGAAAGACAGGTACAAATAAAAACAAATCGTTACTGTGTCAATGGTAATTGGGAAGAAGTTACGAAGCTGCCATACCCAGTAGGAGATAATTTACTACGTGAATTACAAACTGCTGGATGGAAAGTTTCCTTCTTACCGGTGGTCCTTGGCACATGTGGCGAAGTGCTTTCGAACCTAAAAGGAGATTTAATGGAAAAAATTGGCTTAACTCAGGTAGCAACTGCCGACTGTCTCGAGAGAATGCAACGTAGTGCGGTTTTGGGAACGAGCAGGATCATTAAAAATCACCTTGCTGTAAGATAAGGAAATGGTGATGTCTAATGACCCGTTGTGCTTGCACATGCGGAATTAATCAATGATTTTTGGGAAAAAACAAGAAAGGTAGTGATTCTAACATCGGGAAAAGTCATTGAAGACCCTTGTTCCAAATATCATCTTAGGAACATTGTAGCTGAGAGTGAGTAACTCCCAGTATCGGTGGGCTAAACCCCAGCGAGTGTCTAAAACGGCCGAGGCGACTCGGAAGTGTCATGTAGGACTGACGCGTGAGACTTAATTGTACTTCCCATAGGCGACTGTTGCTGACCGTCTGTTTGATATCATCGACACGAAAAACAGCGTGCATTGAAAATAAAATTTCTTTTTCACTTTTGATAGCACTGTATTCATTGATGAGGGCAAATGGAGTAGTCGCAGCTGAAACTTTACTTGAATCAATTGTCATAATGAAGAGTACACCCACAATATCTTTATTCTTGTGCATGGCGCGTTGAACGAATGTCACGGCGACCTGTTGTTTTGTACTGGTCGACAAGAAATTATTAAACGAGAGAAGTCCACCTTTCGAGTCGACTAGATGTTTAAAATCCTGTTGGGAAAGCCCCTGACCCCGATAAACGTTGAATTTTGTCATATAGGCACCCGATTGTTCTCGATGAAGTTTCTCTAATTGTCGATGGAGGGAGCGGATGAAGAAGCCCATTTTTATCATGGCCTCCATGTCAAGTGACCGTAGGGCGTAATTAAGCATGCCGTAGAGAAAAATTTGCCGAGTATACCACCAGACCGGCGATTTATCGTGGTATCTACCCTGGAAGTCCTTTAATTGTGATTCAGGAACACCTTTGTTACTGCAATAGACGACAAGGCCACTCATCGACTTAGCGTCGTCTTCCTCGATTTCCAATAAAATTTCTTTGAATAATGTTGAATACATAAAAGACGGCTCCAATTGGTCGAGATTGCGTTCGGCAGATGCTGCTGTTGCTACC